TATAGAAAGCATAGATATAAAAAAGCGGATATATGCGATTATTAATTTGCCAAATTTGGTATATACTCATGCCGTATGCTACCACGTTGGCTTGAGTTATAAAGTCATATGTTTCTGCGAACAAGCCAGCGGCCGCTATCAATCGAAGACGACGACTTCCAATAGCCTGAGAATGTGGGGTCGCTGATTGATCATCAAGACAGTGAATGACTCATCGGGGTTAATTCGATCGCCGTTGCTCAGCAACTGACCTGTATTTGCCGAGGCAGATCGATTTCCCAATTCACTCGATTTCGCCTACACTGAAACCAACCTGCTGCGTAACAACTTAGGCAAATGCTCATGGCTCCTGAGACCTAAACTTCGATTAGTGCGTCCGATGTGCCAGTGTCACAAGCTACAAGTAAACTTGCATAAACAATGGGACATGCACTGCTTTGTTTTGGGTGTTTTGATGGAACACATATGCAGTGGACTTGCTGACATGAGCAACCGTAGTTCAGCTATATCGTAACCTTGTTAACTGAAGCATTAATGCACTTCGCAAGGATTATAATGATATGATCACATTTCAATGGAATTTTGATGAATGTCGGCTTCTTTTGTATGGATGGTACACGATCTCGCTTGGGCATATCGCTAATAGGCTTTATTATTTGCATCGGATATCCATATGATTGTATGTTCTCGAACAGGAAATCTTTCTCTGCTGCTAATTTGTCCGGGGTACACCTCACGTGAGGTCGATGGAAGAGTGTTCGGACTAGCCAGGGTTTTTTCGTATATTAGAGAAACTATTAAAACCCCAATGCTGACCTGTCCATTTTGCTTTCGGTAGACTAATTATTTGCTTGGATCATCCGGCGCGTAAGCTCTTTCGGGGTAGTAATGTTCGCTCCGTCTTGCTGATGTTTCTCTTTCCTTAATCTGTGGCTATTGTTTCTATTGTGCAAATGGTTGCACAAGTTGAAAGAGTACCAGAAGTTACATTTATCTGGCGGTAGTTTGCTGGTTCAGCATGACTGGTCAATGGGCCAGATATTCGTAGCTTCCATATATTTGAGACGGCAATGATTAAACCCAGAACTTGCTTAAACGTATCTTCTGGTAAATAGCTTATTTGGCTTGATTATTCTAGATAAATTTCAAAATAAATTCATTCACATAATAGCATCAGTGCCGCTAGTGCATCCGTTGTAGAGAACAGAGTGTAAGTTAGGCCTTGTGATAGCTTGATCTGTGTGATACGCTATTGGCGCTGATACCTTATTACCATCCTTTAGACATCGGCGCAGATTAGCTTACGGCAATTTTAACCGATATTTTCAGCCACTATTTTATTGTTGCTAATATCACTGACCTTTGGCAACCTGCCAGGAAAATGGCTGTGCTAAAGAAGCAATCGCAAACTTTGCATCCTTACCCATCTAGGTGGGCAATGGTTAAAATTTTCAAGACAGTGCCGGTCTTTTAGTTTTTCACATATCCATGAAGATGTTATCAACCAGGCCAGTAGCCAACCTAATCCCTGTGCACTAGATGCTGTTTCACACGATGTATATGCGGTTAGTTCAACCGTCATCTGCTTGAGCTTAGTCACAACTGTAATTTGAGAGGATAAGATCACAATCTGGCAGATCCATGCAGTCGAGTGGAATGACATCGGAATTACTTTTCCGTAAACAGTTGCAAAACACAGAATGCCCTGTGGATAAATTTCTTCTGTGCTCCCATGTTGGCAGAATTCCTAGCCCGAGCTGACCACGCACTCATGTCGCTGCACAATCTGACATTACACAACACCCACAACTGAACACAAGCGTCCCGTCAACTTCCGGGATAGGTTCAACACTTGTCATCTCCGTTACATGTTTAGCAGGATTGTAGGACGATTGCCTAACAGCATCACATTTGTTTCATTCTTTATTGCTTATATTGGATTCCCAAATTATACTATGCATACTGCAGTAAACTCAACAGTGTAAACCCCAATTTTACTGACAATCCCTCTGTATGTTGCTACTTCACCATGATCATTATACAAGGCCTGTAAAGCTTAAGCTTTTCACCCGTAGGAAACCATTGCTCTATTGTCAATTTCGCATGTTTACTTTCCGTCAAATACTGTTTTTTGTTCCTGTTATCCTTGTAGTGTCTGAGTTTTATGTGACTACTGACAGTGTGCCTGTGTGATTAACAATCACCTCCTCGATTACTGGCTTCAAGGGATCGTGAATCGTTGCTGGTGTTACGGATTGCACGGTTACAGTTATGCGCAATATGTCCATCACGCAGCGCGCTCGCAACAAGGGCGCGTATTGATAGCCGCCCGGTAAGCATGCGGTGCACATGCCCAAGCCAGCGACGAATCCGCAGCGAAATAATGCCATCAATCTCTTGGCGGATTTCGTTACATCTGAAGACACGCCGACTGACGTCCTCATTATTGATGTGATGCCACTATCGAACACCTACAATGCTTCACAGGCAGCGGTGATAGATTACAGAAACTCGCTGAAAATTGTTTTTGCGAACGGGCCAGGTCTTACAGTTGTACAGCAGAATCGCTCCAACCGTAGCATAGTAGACTTGTCTGTTGAGAACCAGGCTGAGGTCACAACGAAGATACAGGTGACGAAATTTTGCGAAAGCGAACCTTGACTAGGAGCCACACAGGGAGATGACATCTGTCAAACCACTAACACTAAGTTATAAAAGGCTGATGTGCTTATGCATCCCGCTATTTAGTAAGCAGTTCCCAATAACCACTTAACAACCGAGTCAAAAGGTATGCAATTGTTGGGCCTATAAAAGGCGAAAAATATTGCAGATAGATATGCATGCAACGATAAGGAGAACGTTGTTGATTGCATCTTACAGCTAAGTGTTAAATGAGTTATTGACCATTCCGTACCACCCACAAGTTCAGCATAAAGCTAGCTTTTAAAATGATATGTTAGCAAACAAACTTTCGCTTATCCAACAGTGAATAATATCATGTTCCTGCGCGGACCGTCCTTGTGTGTCGCACTAGTTCACCTTTACCAATCAAGCAAATTCCATCCACTAGACAGCTTTTGTGCTGTTGCATTTGTTATGACAGCCAACTCATTTTGCAGAACCTAAAGTCATGCACTAACTTAACAGTGTGAAATAAACTAACAGTGATTCTGTAGACTAGGAATATGTACAGCATAAAACCACACTGTTTTAAGTTAAAGATCATTAATATTGGAGTTTCTATGCAAGGGTGTTGAGCTGCTGGAATTGTGATCAATGTAGCCCATTGGTGTGAGCGACAGTGGAGAATCACATGATAAGATAGGCTCACGTGATGGTTATGGGCATGGAATGGATTCCCAGAAGGAGTCATTTGGACAAAAAACGTAGCAGCATCTGCACAGTGAAATAAATATACTCATCATAATTTCAAAACCAATTCCATCGATTCTGACACAAAACTTCACAGATATCTATTTAGCATTATAAGTAGCAAATATACATTACTTCCACGAATATAAATTTGCATTGCACTACAGTATATACCTACTAAGTAAAACAGACGTACGGTAAATTATACAATTATACGAACAAGAGTTAGGTGAGGAATTTTCGCGTGAATGCTAAGTCAGAGATTTGGGCCGGGTTATTTGTGGGTAGCTCACTGAACGTTAATTTCTTTACTCTTCCTTTCGCCTCTGTGTATAACAAAAAGACACTACATACCTCGTGATTGTTTCCCATTAGATTATCGATTTTACCTTATCATTTTGAAGTTGTCAAATCTGTTGCAATATTTTAGAATTGACTGCCCTGGATTCATTATGATATCTTCAATGTTATTATTCAGTGTAGGAGACGAACGAATAGATTTAGCGCGAGAAAGGAAATTGAATACTTGCGATTATCTCAATTCCTGCTTACGTTCAAATTAGTGAAGCAATAATGAATTATCGTTGTGTTAGCGAATTCTGATTTGCTTTGAACGCTAGTTTCCCAGCGAAGATAAGTATTGCCCTTCTCCGATTGTCAAAACAGTATAACCGGGAATCTGTATTCCAACTGGTATATTGTTAAGTGGATGTCATTCAAACCCTCTAAAATCTTACCTTCAGTCTTCAAATGCTTTCAGGCCGTTGGGGTTAAAATGGAAAACAGTGCTACAGCATGTAATACGCGTCAAGGAATCAACCGGTTTCTTGTAATTTGCTACTGGATTTTTTAAGAATTATACACATTAATTTTGTCGTCCGTAAAATGTTCCATCAGTTGTGGTTGATTGCCAAGATAGCTTCTCTAAAACATTACTTTAAACGAGCAATACTCGCGTGTAGGAGGTTTTTATTTAACTCGGATACCGTGCGTTGAAAAACAACCATAGTGTTTCCATTACATCTTCTGCATACGAACCTTTATATTTTGCACAGTGACTTACCATCACAGCTTGAATTTCCCCTTTGATTAGTAAGACAAATTAACTCATCAGTATGTTTCAAAGTCGCCCACCTGAGTGATATGAACTGAGCATTAAATATCAGACACTATGACCATTTTGTTTATATAACAATATGCAAATCCGCCTTCTCTGTGTACGAGTAGATCACAAATGATCCATCTGTCTAGTTGCATAAAACTAACTTGGGCATCTCAGTTCCCTGAGTTGATTAGTACGCATACCATTTTGCATTAACAGTAAGTTATTGGAACATTTGAGCGCATTATGAATTTTGAGGTGGGTCCATCAAGTTCTTTATTTATTCAAAGGTTTTTGGTGGGATAACGTGTACATAAGACCCTACTCAAGTGACAATATGTGTAACTTAAGAGTTCCATTGTTCATTGAGTACAAAATTATTTCGCTTGCCTGTCCGTGAAATATCAGAACATAATCGCCGAATATTAATAAATGACTTTTCATGGTTACAATCAGCAAATATCAATACATGAAATGTTTAAGTTCAACAAGCTCACCAACCAATCACTATTCAATGTGGTGTGATTCACCAAACCCAAACATGAATCAGGGTACAAACAATGCGTTTTCCGCCAGACCAAAACGTCCATTCCAACGTTTGATGGCCCTGAAATATAACCGGGCCAAATATGTTGATTCGTAGAGGGTAGCTTACGTTTTCATTGTAAAATGTGATGGAAAGTTGTGGATGGAATGTATTCGACCAAAATATGTCGTAAATATTGTGCCACTTAATTGACATCAACCTGCTAGTAAGCTCAGCTTCTGTTATGAACTGCGACATTTTACTAACCGTTAGCCATGGTTCTTTGATTATAAAGGGATGAGATATGGTGTAGTTAGTCCCATGTTTTGACATTCTGCATTCGTTTTCATCAAATAACGTGCAGTCCCTATCCAAATCAAAGATCACAAACCGTCGTAGGGCGTTTGACCACAACGCGTTAACTTTTACATTGAAATCGCCCAGTTTTTCATCTGTCAATTTAGAGATGGGGATTACAAGTTCGCTTGTTATACTAAGCTCAGAATTTAGCTCGTAGGCATACTGTTCATTATTTGACAAACTCACCAGCTTGAAATTCAATGGTTATTGTTTTGCAGTGGTTATAGCGTATTGCACAAAACTGATCACCACATCCAGACATAGTAAGCTTCTTGAAAGGAGCAGCCGGTTCACCTGACGAAGGAAATGTAACTGTGACTTAATATAGGATTATGATAAAATAAAATAACAGCGACATGATTCTCTCGTTCACAAATACATAGCGCAAAATAAATACACGTTGATTCCCAGGGGTAAATTATGGGACATGGAACTTACAGTCGTCATAAAATGTGTCAGCAAACGGGCCAGATACACCAAAGACCAGCAGCAAAAAGGAACAAGTCACGTTGCGTAGAAACATTATTCGTGTGTTTGATAAGGTTACACGTGAATTTATACAAGCACTGTCTTCTTTGTATATCATTAAAACCTTCATGTTAACTGTAAGCTATGAAAGACATGGATCACGTCATGGACCACCTATGGTGATATAGTTTTCTTGTCCGTCTGAATATTCTTGAATATCTTAAACGTATTAGCATTTCTAACGCATCCGAGTCTTGCATTCGTCAAATATTCAATTTCTTCTCTCCAAATTTTGCATGGTACATCCAGTTATAACCAACGGAGCTTTAATATTATGCCACAAATTACAATAAAGCTCATGCGGCTTGCATACACTTAAACCATGGTCCAACTAGTTACTTAACCTTGCCTACGTATGTTAATAACGAAAATTTGGAAATAAGCCTGGTTTACTACGATGAACGATGTAGGCTAGTGCCTGACGCAATCAAATGAACATTAGCAGCCACGTAAATGACGTAATTACTCCCATTAAAATCCCAAATAAGGCGTCTAGCTCGAAAACTTTGAACTTGACGTGAACTATCTGAACCCTTTTCTTAACTACTATTGATGAATAATCTGCGACACTGTCAGTCATAATACTAATATAAATGTTACATTATTGAATGGTTAACAATATGATAGTTCGTCTTAGCAACTAACTTTTCTGATCGTATTTCATGGCTTATTTAGTCATCCAACGGCATTTATTACGCAAATATATCTGGATTTGTAAGCATTTAATTCAGCGCAGAACTTTTTATTTGATTTTACCCATCAGGCGAATACATATATACCAACTGCTCAAAGCTTCGCAACACCATATGAAGTCTCGGCAAAGTTTGATCAATTGCAGACTGGGTGGCTTTCAATGCAGTGAACGTTACAATTAGTGGAATTTATTCGATTTTAATATGAAATAATTGCGGAGGATTCAATGTTGGCACAAATCCCAATGGTTTGTCGTTTCGTTGAAAGGTACGTTTGTGGAACCCATTGATTATGTCTTTACATTGGATGCAGAATGTCGAGCTGTCATCTTAGTTTGAGAGCGCATGTCGACAGTAGACAAACTTAACCATAATTCACACCGATTCATTCCCCACACATACGATACTTTGGCGAATTATTTATGAAGGAACTACCGCCTGCATAGCAAGATGCAGTTGAACACATACAGCCAATTTACTTTCCAAATGTGAGACGACAAATAAGTGGTGAGTTGCTCGTCAATGTCGAAACTTTGAACATATGCTGAACATACGGTGACCACAAGTTTGAGGTACAAAAGAGATACTAGGTTAGCCAACCTGGATTTATATGTGTATTCACATTACTACACCTACGTATTATTATCTTCAGGTGGCTCATAATACGCGAGTGTACACAACCTTGTTTATCCAGATAAACGTGAAACCAACTCTGTATTGGTGTCACTCTAACACACTAAGGGTGACTCAACTTGCTTTCTCATTTTATAGCTATGGTTATACAAACCATACATTAATACACCAACACATTACATCTGCAAAATGGTTACTGATATTTCCGGAAAAACGGTTCAGACTTTTATGAGTATAGTTGACTAGAAAGCACTCGACTGAAATATCAACCTGTGGGAAATCACTGGTATTGCGTATACTTCGGGTCCATTAGGATCCAAATCAACGCCAACCATCGCATCGCACCACTACTCAACGGCTTATGCCACTTTGGCACGTCATATGTATACCTCTAGGTATACATAAATAAAATCCACGGGAATTGAAGTTCAGATATCGTTAAAGTAATATTGTGCGCAACAGTCAGGAATTCAAAATTGCTCAGGAGTGAAGGTTACAAGATTTTGCCCAACCCCAAATATGATTTTGACTTAAGAGACTTCATCTGGAGCCATTGGCTGATGAGCTAACCGCAAGGCAACGGAGCGAGATTGGAAATTCCCTTCCACTGGCAGCCGATCAATGATTGCCGATTTCGCATGGATATCGTCTGACCGCTGGTCAAGCTGGTGCGTTGCGTAAATATATTGTGCAGTAACAGTAAAGAAAGAATCCGTGAGTTGAGCTAGTGCCAAGACAAGTCTGCCATGTTATATTTGGTTAGACGGCTAAATGTCTATCATACTGAAAAAGTTTCCCAGTTGAGAACCTGATAGGTACTGGCACACTGGCGCCTAACCATTTGCAGAGACTCGTTAAACCCGAATCACCCAGTTGGCATGTCGTGCCGATTGGTCAGCAAGCCAGCCAACGTCAGTAATTTTCAATCAGGAGCTGTTATTATGTACAATATTAAATCCATGTTTATGTGTGTCTTCTGTGTGTAAGTAACTAATTGTAAAGTTTATTGCACAATAGCATATACGTGTGTGTGTAGTATGCAATGTAGATCATAAGTAAAGAAACACGAATATTTTTCCGTTAACATTAACCTTATGGTCGAATCCAACCGAAAAAGGTTTTATCACGTCAACCCATTTGTCAATGGTTTGTAAGTAAAATTTGCCAAATATAAGGGACTACTAAGAGAAGTGCAGATGAATGATTGTATGCGCCGTGGATGTATTTCATTAATGAGTCGCTTAAGATGGACAGCTTTACTAACAACGGGAATTTGAGGTTTTCAACATTTCGGAAAACTACACAGTGAAAAGCACCTATTTAGTCCCAATGAAAAATAAACTACATGGCGTGCATGCTCATCTGTCTCGGTTAAATGATAAACGTAGTTTTGGTCGCGTATATAACTAGCCGGATTAGAATATAGCCAATATTCTACGTTGGCGGATAACTCATCATTACTCAGAGATGAGAGGCTTTTTAAAGGCCATTGCATGAATATACTACAGATATAGGAAGCAGGAAACTGACTGCCGTTACCCAATATATTAAACATTAGGCTGCTTCTTCCATCAAAAAGAAGGGAAATGGATAACTAGACATCAAAGACAATAATTACGAAGAACGTATTTTCAACCTTTTTCAGGCTTGGTGGTTAGTTAACAGACTTTCCATGCATTGGAACGACCCTCTTCGGACATGGCGGTGAGGATACATGCATAAGGTCCTTGTGCGTAGCATGGATGTACTTTAACTAGAGTAACGCATCACATCGGTCAATTGATGCAACACACGTGTGAGCGTTGTCATACATTTATTTATTTGCCATTGAGTTATAATATTATAACTGTTCTCTATATTGTTTTGTGCGTGCATATCCAAATACAATTTCCGAGACTCGTTTTGCAGCGGTACATTCAAACCTGCTGACTAGAAAATTAACAGTTCAATTATTTGTTTATTTAGTCAGTTTCGTTTTCACTCAAACCATTCTGTGCGACTTGTCAAGCCCATGCTAATATATCCGAGATAACTCATTATTTCTTGTTGACCGCACCTATTGAGCAAATCGTGTTTCGTGCGTAGGCGTCTGAGCCATATTGCGACGCGAGTCCCCCGAGTCCATCCAAGTGTGTATCGCACGAAGGTACTAATCTTGTTCCAAACATCCCATGCTTCTTCTGTTCTCACTTCATCAACGTACTGTTGCCACAATCAGTCAGGATGTTGCCAAAAGCGAATTCCCAAAAAGGATCTCTTCGTAATCCTGACTGTTGTTATGTTGCTACATTTCTATTGAGGTCATTTACCTGGTCAATAATAAGGAGAGTTCGGAACTCACTCAGTGGTATCTCATGCCTTCAGTCACTTGGCGACATGACGCGTTACGTTAAGCATTTAAAAATTTTGTTTAATCAATAGTTACTCTCTGTTTTCCCGTATGGAATCCTCTTCTCAACGTATATTTCTGTACCACGCCTGATGATTAATAAATCGAAAACAATTGTTCGCTTTACACGTACCGCTTGCGTTTATTCTTACAATATATGATAACGCTGGGCATACCACACGATAATAAACGTCGCAGATGCCCCTAGACGCTCAAAGAACTCAATCAGTGTACTATATTCAGCGGTAAATTTGACGAAACGGAAGCCTTTATCGAACTTCATCTTCACTGCATTGAAACCAGTCACCACCCCAAAGCATTCTCGAAAGTATTACGAAGACACCACATACGATCTACAAGAAGGAGCTTGAAGCGTCATGCGCAAAACATTATAGAATTAGCAAAATCGAAGCTATCTGAGACTGAACGGTTTATCGATATGTGTGCAACCTGACCTCCAAGCGTACATCCAAAAAGAGATTAGTTCTGCAGAAAACACTGACAGTGAAAGAATGTCCGAACACATTTCTATCAAACCCGCAAAGATATGTACACAACCTGTCCAGTATACGACTGGACACCTTACAAATGCAGGCGCTTTCATTGGGCCTTAGGTTTTGTCATCCACGAATTAATGATCACCGACTAGAAATCGAAACTCAATTTGAATACATCAACAGCCAGACAAGTGATTTAGTAGCCACTTTCAACACCAACCTCGAACAAGTTAAGTCGGACTTGGTCAATATTTCCTTTCAGTATCAACGATACCCCATGCCACATTCCCGTTACTAACAATGGCACACATCAAAGCCATAAGAGAATTTCAGCAAAACGAGAGAATCATAATCACCAAACCAGATAAAGGATCAGGAGCCATTATCATGGACCGCACAAAATACGTACAAAAAATGAAGCTAATTCTCTCGGTCTCCTCCAAATTTGTACCATGTGAACGAGAGAAGGACAAAACGGATTACACAGAAACACAACCGACAAGGTGTTTCAAATCGCTTGTCACAAATGGCCACATAATTAAAGAAAGATATGAAAGGATAAGACCCACCGGTTCCATAGTTCCTAGACTTTACGGTCTCCCAAAAATACACAAGCCGGTTGCACCATTGCGACCGATACTGGATATGAGGAACTCATCATATCACACCATCGCAAAATGGTTAAGGTCTATTTTGAATACTATTGGGAGGATGATAGCCCCTCATCAACTTACGGACACTTTTCAATTTGTGGAAAACGGTTAAACTATGAACATCTTAGTCTACCGAATGTTTTCTTTTGGCGTCGTCTATCTGTTCACGAATGTCCCACTTTTGGAAACAGATAACTTTCTATGTATTTAATTAAGCAGCACAAGATAAAGATCGAATTACCAACTGCCCAGTTAAAGCAGCTATAACTCAGATACACTTAGAACATCCAATTCTAAATCAACAATGAATGGTACAGGCAAGTAGATAGGGTAGCGATGGAATCACCTCTCGGACCACTATTGGCTGATATTTATATGGGAATGTTAGAGAATGGCCCATTAAAATCGGTCATCTCGGAACTAAATTTCTACCGACGTTATGTTGACGACATATTCTGCATAACTGAGCAGACGAACAACTTGAAAAATGTCGTCGTTTGTTTTAACAAGGCACATCCTAACGCCACCTTCACAGCAGAAGAAGAAATTGCTAACCAAATGGACTTCTTAGATGCAAACTTAAAGTGACGAGAAGACGGATCAATTCAGATAGGAGTATATGGAAAGCCGTATTGGACAGGCCAATACACCCAATTCCGAAGTTTTGTGGAAATAAGCCGAAAAAGAACACTGGAACATACGTTGGCCAATCGTGCAAGGAAGATCTGTAGTGAGGACACAATTGAAGAAATGAAGCGAATCAGGCAAACACTTCTCGAAAACGGTTATCCAGCACCATTAATTGACGTTCACACAAAGTCTAGTAGCCCAAAACCAACAATAAAAACGTTGGCGAAAATACAGCTATTTCTCCAACTTTCCTTTAAAGGTGAAATATCGGCAGAGGTATGCGCAGGACGACTGATAAAGACTTGCGGAAAGACTTTTAATGCAGCTCAACTAATTGTCACTTTTACAAGCAGTTCGCTCTTTGTTCCTAGGTTCAAAGACAGGACGCCTGATCAACGCCAATCAATGGTAGTCTACTTGTTCACCTGCTCCTGTGGGCTAGGTACATTCGGCGCACGAGCAGGCACTTGGAAAAGCGAATCAAGGAACATTTACCAACGTAGCTCGTCACCCAACGGGACAGAACTAATTTAAGTGTCATAACCAACCATCTGATCTGCACCAATCAGCTGATTGATAAGCGCAAGTCCTTTGAGATCATTTTTCGAATTCCATCACAGTTACACCATCGGCCAGGGGCTCGGATACTTGCTACCGCTGAAGCAGTATGCATCAGGTTATCAAAACCAAATCTATGCATTCCGAAGCCGCATGTACAAGCATTACAACTAGCTTGGCAAGCCAATGATAAAGATGGATCGGACCTCACTCAGTGGTAACACATGCCTTCAGTCACTTGACCACATGACAAGTTTCGTTAAGCATTTGAACATTTTTGTTCAATCAATAGTTGCTCTCTGTTTTCCCGTATGAAGTCCTCTTCTCAACGTATATTTCTGTACCAAGCCTGTTGCTGAATACATCGAAAACAATTGTTCGCTTTAATCGTACCGCTTGCGTTTCTTTATATATATAATAGTGGGCATACTACACGATATTAAAATTTTTTGCGTAACTTATCTGATGCACACAAGCTATTCTACGGTCCCGTCAGCGCATCGGTTTTAGAGAACGTAGTGTGAGTTAGGCCTGGTGATAGCTTGATCTGTGTGGTACGCAATTGGCGCTGTTACTTTATCACCATCTTTAAGACATCTGGGCATGTTAGCTTACGGCAATTTTAAAGGATAATAATTGTGGATTTTTGTGAGCAGTGTAATGTACGTAGAAAGTAGAAGTCACGATTAAACTTCACACAATAATCTACCCCGACGGGGAATTGAACCTCGGTCCAACGGATTACCGGTCCGTTGCTCTACCACTGTCCTACCGAGGGTTGATGATCAGGTGCGCAATTTGATACGTAACTTCTGCTTGGTGCGCGATATATCGCCAATGCGCTCACAGTATCTGTCCTGGTGTTGCAGATTGGCTCACTCCCTCGTCATTTCCAAATGGACCGAGGTATCTGTCCTCTTGCAACACCAGGACAGACACGGTGAGCTCATTGGCAATACGTCGCGCACCAAGCAGAAGTCATTTATTAAGGCACGCACCTGATCGTCCGCCCTCGGTTGCTCAGTGGTAGAGCAGCGAACCGGTAATCCGTGGGACCGCGGTTCGATTCCCCGTCGAGGCAGATTTTTGTGTGAAGTTTACTCGTGAAATCTACTTTCTACGAACATGTAACCGATACATGCAGCCACTGGTTTATCGTTGATGTTATCACCGTTTTGTGGAGACCCGTCAGGAAAATGGCTGTGACTAAGAAGCCATCGCAAAATTTTCACCCAGTTCCGTGTACATGGGCAATGGTTACAACTTTCAAGACCGTGAAGGATTTCATATCTGCACAAATCCATGCAAGTGTTGCCAACCAGGCCAGTAAGCAATATAATCCTTATGAGCTAGATGCTGTTTCACACAACATATCTGCCGTTATTTCTGTGGTAATTTGCTACAGCCCAGTCTCAACTGTAATTTGAGAGGCTAAATTCACTATTTCGCATATGAGGAAACTCAAGCAAATTGACGTCGAAATTCTTTTCCGTAAGCATTTGAAAAACTTAAAATGTCCCACCGGTATCTGTTATCTTTGCTCCCATTCTGGCAGAACGCAAATCCCGATTTGACCGCGAGTTCGTTTCCCTGCACAATGTGACATGGCTCTTCAACCACGGATGAACCCAAGCGTCCGGTCAACTCCCGGGATAGGTTCCACATTTGTAACCTCCTTTGTGTTTGGAGTAGGATGTTTTATCAACGTCACAATTTTTCATTACTTCTGGGTTACATTTCCTTCACAGTTTATACTAGGCATACTGCAGTGATTCCAGCCGTGTAAACCTAATTTTGCTGACAATGCCTCTGTGTGTTGCAAATGCACAATGACCATTCGACATAATTTGTAAAGTTTTAAGTTTTCACCCGTATAAAACCATTGCCCCATTGTCAATTTTTCGTGTTTAATTTCCTGCGAATTCTGAGTTGCATGTTTGAGATATCCTCCAGGTGGCTGGGCTTTTTGTGACTACTGCCAATGTGCCTGTCTAACAATCTCCACCTCGATTATTCGCTCCAAGACATTGTGAATCGTTGCTGGTGGCACAATTTGCATGATGTTCTTCACTCTACAAACCAAAACTGTGTATATATACCGCTTGTCTTGGACTACGGCCCAGTCACCGCTTTGTGTATGCCGGTACGCAGGATTATCCAATTAGTTATACTGGAAGGTTGCTGCTGTGTTTGCTAAAGCAGTGTAAGCCGGCTCCGTTTGAAAAACGTGGCTCCCATCCGCAAACCTACCTGTCTTATTCCCTCCGGTCTCCACTGCATATAAGGTGAGCAGATGAAGGTGTGTGATGCAGCGCAGACCACGCATGTTCTCTCGGTAGGTGTAGGTGTCCTGTGGCTGTCCTATGGAGGTCGATATGACACGGACATTTGAAACAGGATGCAGCCATTCATGTGTGTAGACTGCTTATATTGTGTCAAAAACCGAAAACAACAATCGAAATGTTGATGAATAACAATATTTTTGCTTAGATTTTTAGGCGCTGAATTCATGAGGTCATTGTTTAAATCGTGTCGCAGTCATGGCGGTTTTAGACCTAGATGAATATATTTGACACCGGAATGGCACCGTATACAGGTACATATACATATATATATACAATTTTCACTTTAAACTGGACATTTTTCAAACCAAACTGGACATTTTTCAAACCAAACCGGACATTTTGCAAACCAAAGTGGACATTTTGCAAACCGAAGTGGACATTTTGCAAACCAAACTAGACATTTTGCAAACCAAACTGGACAGTTTGCAAACCGTAGTGGACATTTTGCAAAACAAATTGGACACGTTGCAATCCAAGTAGCAACTGGCCAATTTGTTGGTAAGAAACGAGCAGTAAGACTGCTGAATGATGTTCAGCATATACATTGTGATGACGCTAATACACTGGCATTGTGTAAGCAGCGGGCTACACTGTAAAACATTTGCTTGATCGTGAGCAGCGACCGAAGTTCTGAACTACGCTCCCCTCTCCCCATTGACATTCGCCTAGTTGGTGTGCAGTGCCCATACGCATCAACCTGTATAGGTGTGTGACAATTGGAAAATCGGACGTCCGAATTGTAATTGTGTATCAATCATTTTGTGAGTGGATTGCGATGCGCAATCTCAATGTGCACCGTTATTCTCATTAGAGAGAACCTTGTCCGATTCGGTCAATGGTACCATGTCGGATGAAGCAGGTAGGCGGTGTCCCAGCTTCGCCCGTCTCTCTATTAGCTTTCGCAACTGCCACGTTATTGCATCAGCGTAGGCTGTAATGACCCCCAGCAAAACCAGTCTAGATCTATAGCCTATTGTTGCAACATATCAACTACTGAGGAGTGGGCCGATTACACGATGTTCAGGCCACACTGTGGTCACGATAATCTAACCGAACTGCGTACGTAGCGGGTGATTGTGTAAGCCCTTCTCTTGACATGAGTGCCGTTCGCCTCGGTTAAAATCGGTGACCTATTTTCCCCTACACCCCCCCATAGGAATTCGGGTGTTTTGTCTGGGTGTGTGGACCGACCTATGCAAAGGTACCACAATTGTAGCCGAGCATACGATAATGGTTCCACTCAACCCAAATTGGCGAGTTGCTACTTAGATTGCAACGTGTCCAATTTGTTTGGCAAAACGTCCACTTCGGTTTGCAAAATGTCCAGTTTGGTTTGCAAAATGTCCAATGTGGTTTGCAAAATGTCCACTTTGGTTTGCAAAATGTCCAGTTTGGTTTGCAAAATGTCCACTTTGGTTTGCAAAATGTCCACTTTGGTTGGCAAAATGTCCAGTTTGGTTTGAAAAATGTGCACTTTAAAGTGAAAATGTGAATATGTTGCAACAATAGGCTATAGATCTAGACTGGTTTTGCTGGGGGTCATTACAGCCTACGCTGATGCAATAACGTGGCAGTTGCGAAAGCTAATAGAGAGACGGGCGAAGCTGGGACACCGCCTACCTGCTTCATCCGACATGGTACCATTGACCGAATCGGACAAGGTTCTCTCTAATGAGAATAACGGTGCACATTGAGATTGCGCATCGCAATCCACTCACAAAATGATTGATACACAATTACAATTCGGACGTCCGATTTTCCAATTGTCACACACCTATACAGGTTGATGCGTATGGGCACTGCACACCAACTAGGCGAATGTCAATGGGGAGAGGGGAGCGTAGTTCAGAACTTCGGTCGCTGCTCACGATCAAGCAAATGTTTTACAGTGTAGCCCGCTGCTTACACAATGCCAGTGTATTAGCGTCATCACAATGTATATGCTGAACATCATTCAGCAGTCTTACTGCTCGTTTCTTACCAACAAATTGGCCAGTTGCTACTTGGATTGCAACGTGTCCAGTTTGTTTTGCAAAATGTCCACTTCGGTTTGCAAACTGTCCAGTTTGGTTTGCAAAATGTCCAATGTGGTTTGCAAAATGTCCACTTTGGTTTGCAAAATGTCTAGTTTGGTTTGCAAAATGTCCACTTTGGTTTGCAAAATGTCCACTTTGGTTTGCAAAATGTCCAGTTTGGTTTGAAAAATGTGCACTTTAAAGTGAAAATGTGAATATGTTGCAACAATAGGCTATAGATCTAGACTGGTTTTGCTGGGGGTCATTACAGCCTACGCTGATGCAATAACGTGGCAGTTGCGAAAGCTAATAGAGAGACGGGCGAAGCTGGGACACCGACTACCTGCTTCATCCGACATGGTACCATTGACCGAATCGGACAAGGTTCTCTCTAATGAGAATAATGGTGCACATTGAGATTGCGCATCGCAATCCACTCACAAAATGATTGATACACAATTACAATTCGGACGTCCGATTTTCCAATTGTCACACACCTATACAGGTTGATGCGTATGGGCACTGCACACCAACTAGGCGAATGTCAATGGGGAGAGGGGCGCGTAGTTCAGAACTTCGGTCGCTGCTCACGATCAAGCAAATGTTTTACAGTGTAGCCCGCTGCTTACACAATGCCAGTGTATTAGCGTCATCACAATGTATATGCTGAACATCATTCAGCAGTCTTACTGCTCGTTTCTTACCAACAAATTGGCCAGTTGCTACTTGGATTGCAACGTGTCCAATTTGTTTTGCAAAATGTCCACTTTGGTTTGCAAACTGTCCAGTTTGGTTTGCAAAATGTCCAATGTGGTTTGCAAAATGTCCACTTTGGTTTGCAAAATGTCTAGTTTGGTTTGCAAAATGTCCACTTTGGTTTGCAAAATGTCCACTTTGGTTGGCAAAATGTCCAGTTTGGTTTGAAAAATGTCCAGTTTAAAGTGAAAATGGTATATATATATATTATAAAGCTTATTTGTCTGGCTCTTAAGGGAGTGAGATTTCGCACTTAACATCTGTTGCACGATGACAAAATACCGCTGGTTAAAATTTGAATAATTGGCGTGTATTATCCTTGCAAAACCTTAGCTACTTCTTCGTCTACTTGTTTTATTTCAAGCGCTATTAAAAATGAAAGCAAGCCTCCCAGATTAAGAATATTGTGTACACACTCACAAGGAGCTAACCATTTGAGTAGAATCTCTGTTAACATGTATCAGCGTAGCAGTTTATTTTCGCGGGCCCTACGAGTACAGCGTTTAAGGTGCATTATTTTTGCTTCATGCTACCTGGTCTTATATAGCCCTTATGAACACGCCATAATTTACCCCCTTGACCATGTACTTGATTGTCACGTTCCATGCAAATCAGGATTTAGTGACATGGAAGATAACCGTTCCAATATGACAGCTACCCCGGCATTGCATCTAAGAATGAAATGTTCTCAGATAATGACCAGCGTAATGCTTGCTACAGAACTCGAGTTTGTCGGCTCAGGCAATCAAACTATGTCACCGGGCTGCTGGGTATTTGTCTTGTTTGGCATACTCGTAAGTCAGACAATTTTGATTATGGTTACGTGATTACCTTTGCCCATGGGAAGATTGAGAAACACTTTTCTATTGGGTGAGGTTTGTCATGGAAAATCCGATTTGTCTTTAACTAACCACTTTCCTAACTGAATATTTCGGGTAAATTAAAGTTGCCGTAATGCAATAAATTACTAGGGTTCTTTTTTGAGTTCTTTCTTGAGTCACTTATGATCCCGAAGCAAGTGCATAGTTTTCTTAGTACGCCAAAGTTCCCTGATGTGTATAAGCTTGGAAACCGCATGCCGAAGACAGCCTCACAGGAATACAACATAAGGGTGATGAGGCGAATGTTTTCGGCTGTTCGGCGTTCTCTTGGAAGGCTTTGAAAACCGCAAAACATGTTAGTATCTTAAGGTATGCCTTCGGGAGGTTTTCCATGTCATCTTCCGTATCTATTCAAGGTCTTAATGATTCCAAATTTAGACTACATGATTCAGGTGTAGAAAATCTTGTTTGAACACCATCTGTATGCAGCACGGAGTATGGCAACCATGCCATCTACTGTAAAATTACGGAGATTGTACAGCACGGCATATTACCTTAACGAGGCAACCTCATTCTGAGGTACCACAAACTTCTAATTTGCGTTTAGGCTTGTCGTCATTTGCTTAAAGTGTAGGAACACAAAATTGCGGAGTCACCGGTTGAAACTGCTTAGTCGGCTGGGGTTCTAACGGAACTAATTTTCTCTTTGAAAATGCCAACCATAAACGCTTACTGGAATTTTGCATTTCTTCAATCACGCTACCTATTTCTACAGAACCACTATCTGATGCATTAGGCTACCTGCGTTAGTTGCTTTCATTTCGGTTAACTGAGTGAGGACTGGACGCAGACAAACATGGGGCTCATCAGCAACAGCCTAATTGAGTAGACGAATAATGTGGACAATATGGTGGGAGCATTGATGCGCGCTTCATATTTGTGTGACTTGTCTCGTAATTCACACAAATCACATCCGCGGGGATTGTCATTCCTTCACATGTTTATCCAGACTATGCCGTATTACACCATT